CCTCAGCCAGGCGACGTGCCTCCTCTGCTCCTCAGCCAGCGACGTGCCTCTCTGCCTCCTCAGCCAGGCGACGTGCCTCCTCTGCCTCCTCAGCCAGGCGACGTGCCTCCTCTGCCTCCTCAGCCAGGCGACGTGCCTCCTCTGCCTCCTCAGCCAGGCGACGTGCCTCCTCTGCCTCCTCAGCCAGGCGACGTGCCTCCTCTGCCTCCTCAGCCAGGCGACGTGCCTCCTCTGCCTCCTCAGCCAGGCGACGTGCCTCTTCTGCCTCCTCAGCCAGGCGAAGTGCCTCTTCTGCCTCAGCTTTGCGACGTGCCTCTTCTGTGTGAGGGCCATCCAGCGTGTTGCTCACTCCCTCCTTTTGTTTGTTTTCCGCCTCTTGCTGTTTATCAGAAGTTGCGTTTTGCAACACATCATTACCGCCGAGGTCTCTGCTTTGTTGTCGCCTAGCTATGCTGTCTGTGGGGAAGATAGACGTGGTTTTTTGGTCTTGGTCTCCTTCATGCGGATTTAATTTCTCAGTAGTCAGGGGTTTGTCAAGAACATCGTACCTCTCGTCACGCAAGAGGCATCCCCTGGAGGCAATTGCTGCCATGTCGCGTGCGCATTTGTCTCGTATAGCGTGAATTCGTTGGGACAGCAAACGTATTGTGTGGGCGTCGTCACAGTCAGGAGGACATCGGCAGTCCTGAAGAATCTCTTGGCACATGGCGAGACGCCTGTTAACCAGTCGCTCCCACCAATGGTAACAGCTGAGGAAGTCGCTGGTGTGCGCGACCTGCTCCTCCAAACTGAGGCTCAAAAGGAAGCGGGCCTCCTTGTGTGCCCCGTCGGACCGGATGGCGATAAGACTTACCGCCTCACTGACGCCGCGGATGAGCTCGTCAAGGGGTAACGCCGCGCGCTGCTGGGGAGTGAGCCGCAGTAGAAGCGGGGGAGGTTCATCGTCTGCCTCACTGCCGGATGCCCCCAACGCATTCTGCAGGAGTGTTGTCGCCGTCTTGTTGACTGTGCCCCACCAGCCGCTCAGCCGATCGCCAATGCCCGTGACGCCGGAGAGAAGTGGCTGCTCCCGCGGGTCGTGGGGCCGCGGCTCCCCAGCGGCGCTCTCCCCGCGTGGGGCAATTGCCTGACGAACCGTCGCCTGCACGTCGCTGAAAAAGTCCCACAGTGACATTTGTTTGCCTCGCGGCGCCGCGCGAAGAGCGAACCCAGCAGAAGCAAGAGAATCTCAACGGCCAACCCGTGAAAGGTACCGTCGCAGCCTCAGCAGTTCAAGGAACGGAGGGATTTCTCCTCACACGTTTATTAACTGTGTATCCCTTCTCTTCTCAGCGTGACACAACGCAGGCCCAGTAAAACGAAGTAAAAGAAAGAAAAAAAACTGCGAGGTTCAGGCAAAGATATTCAAAACAAATTCTTCTCTCTCGCTATATATATATATATATATATATATGTGTGTGTGTATGTATACTGCTGGCATCAGTTCCTACTCCAAAACAAGAGAGAAAGGAGCACACTCATGTGTAGAAGTAAAAGCCTGAATGTATTCAGTCTCTTTTGTTGTTGTTGCCTAGGCCGGGTACATATTATCCTTGAAAAAACCATCTGGCCTGTGGAGCGGATGAATCTTTGTCCCCCCAAGCATGTAGGTGTACTTGCCCCACGGGAACGCTCCCGACGGCTGCTCAAGCGTCGTTGGCATGGCAGGGCCCAAGCGTAGGTGTGGCAGGGCATAGTACCGCTCCATCGTGGAGGTCCGCAACACACCATTTTCATGCAGTTTCTTCCTAAAGGTCTTTTTTTGGTTCTGCAAGACGATTTCGTGTGCTAGCATCTCAACATGCTGAAGAAGGCCATGAGGCACCGCGCCCATCTCCACCTCGCCCCAGTCCTGCAGCCGTGGCAGGTTATCGTGCACCTCCTGAATGGACATCAGTCCTGTCCGCTCCTCAATAAGCCTCAGGTGGCGCTCGATGTCATGCTTCGACCAGACCTTCCCCGTGTACTGATGAATGAAAGGAGTCATGTAATGCAGCGGGAAGTGGCTTGGGGTGTTGTACTCCTGCCCCACCTCCGCGTAGTAGTTCCACAGCGGCACACCGTCGTTCGAGCCGTGTGAGAGGCAAGAAAAGGTCCGGTTGGGCGGCCCCTCGCGGTGGTGGCGCACAGGGTCATCGTTCCAGCGCGCCCACGGCCAGTGACGGTAGGCGCCGCGGTGCCGCAGCCGCGAGTACCACTCCATCCCCGTTCGCGGGTCCCAAGTGTTGCCGTACTCCTCCGGGGACTTGTTCGCCAGCGGCGAGCGGGCGTGGGGGAGCTTGGGCGGTCGATAGCGTGCGCGGTGGCGGCGGTGGGCGTAGACCATCACACGGTTCTCGTAGCCCTTCGCCCGGGAGCCGAGCGCGGGCGGAGTGAAGCGAAACGCCATGGCGCCGTCGCAAGCGCGTCCTGTGCCCTTCGCGGGAAGTTCTCTGCACGCGGAGCCCGCCTAAACGCGCAGCGAGGCGGCGGGCGCGGTGTTGGTGGGGAAAACTGTCACGTGCTCTCTCCGCGGGCCCTGGCAGCGAGTAGTCGCCGAGACGCAGCAGGAGGCAGCTAAAAGAGGAAGAAGCGGCAAGGCAGCGGAATACAAGTATTCGCAAAGAAACACGCAAATAAAAATATACTTGGTGGCACTACCTTATGACTACATGCAACGCATCTTCCTTTTGCAAAACGGCCCGACCGCCGTCCCCGCCCTATTCAGATCATTTTAGTGCGTTCCACAACGTACTTTTTTTTTTTTTTGCTTTTTTGCTTTTTTGCCTCAAAGCCAGTTTGCCTTTGATATTGTTTCAAGCGCCTGCATGTGTGTTTACTTCCTGTTGTCACCCAATGTTTCTTTTTATTTCGTTTTGCTCTTCCCCCCTCGCTCCCTCTCGCAGCGGGCAGCGGGTGGCGGGTGGCGGGTGGCGGCGGCGGCAACAACAACAACCGGGAGGACGCACGTTTTCCTTCCGCGTGTCTGCCCCTCATTCGTCGCGCGAGCGACGTGGCGGGCACCTCCGCCCCGCCTGCGTCCCTCCCGCCGGGAGCTCTGGCTGTGGCTGTTGCCCCCCACGCCTGCCGGCGCGGCCGCCACCGCAGCGGCCCCCTTAACTCACACGGAAGCAGACACGCAGAATAACCGGGCAGACGTACATGATCATGAAACCGACCGCGAAGTAGGCGACGGTGCAACGGTGCGCCTCCCACAGCCACCAGTGTCCATGCGTGCGCGGGGACCACATCTGGACGGGGTCGCGCGGCGCCGCGTCCTCGTCGCACGTGCGCGGCAGCAGGACCTCCACCGACGACCCCGCGCACCCCGGCAGGCACGCAGCGTCGGCGGTTGGCGTCGGCTTCCGCTGCTGCTGCTGCGCGGCTCCCGCGGCCGGCCCCTCGCAGAGGGGGATCCAGTACGCACGGCGCACGGCGTCCGACAGCGCGGCGCGCACTCGTCGCCACAGCCACGGACGACTCGGCGCGGCTCTCCGAGAAACGGAGCTAAAGAACCAGCGAAGGAGCGGAGTGGCGACAAACGAGGTTATCGTCTTCCCAAGCACAAGCACGAAGAAGCAGCAGATGTATTGCAGCAAAAATTCCCACGATAGAAGCGTCCCGCATAAGTCAGCCGGCGGTGTTCGGGCGGTGTAAGTGCCGTACTGCGAGTAAAACGCCCAGCCACCAAAGAGAGCGCCCAGCGCGGCGCCGAGGAAGCGCAGGCTGTCCAAGTAGCACGGGCAAAATTCGCGCGGGGCGGCGTGGGACACGGCCAGCACTTGCACGACGAGAAGGGCCAGCATGTAGTGCCACACCTCCACCGTGGCCAGCGAGGCGATCGTCAGAACCCAAGACCGCAAGAAGGCAGCGTGCGACACGAGAATCAACCCAGCCAAGCCAAACCCCGCCACCATATCTGCAGGCCAGTGCATTCCAAGAAACAAGCGTGAGAAACTAACATTGACGGCGAACACGATGCAGGCCACCACGCAGGCCACGGGATGGTTGGGGAAAAGACGGATCAAAAAAGGGTACACCGAATACGAGAAGAGGAGACTGTGAGAAGCGTGGGTGCTTGGGTAGCCGTACTCCTTGGAGGCATTCGCCCGTCCGCGAAGCTCTACTGGTGGGCATGGCGGCCGCGGGCACCCTGCCGCGTCCTTTAGTGTCCCGGTTATATATTGACTCAGACACATGAGCACCGCCATATCCAGCACCTCGGGCCACAAACCCAGCCACGCCATCGTGGGGAAGAAGGCCGTGTAAAACTCCGTCTCACCAGTGCAACTCCAAACATTAAAATAAATTGTGATCGCACGCTGAAGTGAAGGGAAGCACCGTTGCAACCGCAGTAGCACGGATAAATGCTCCTCGTTGCAGTAGTTCGAGGCGTACCAGCTCCTGAAGGGCACTACCGGCTGTTGTTCTATTGGAAACGTGCAGCAATGCAGATGCGATGCAGGCGGGGAGGAAGCGAGAAGGCCATTGATGCGTGGCTGAACGGCCACAGCCGTATCCTCGTTCATCTACGCACCAATTGGCTCCTCCCACTCGTTGCTGTTGTTGTCGTCGTCGCCCTAGTTGGGGTTATTTTTAGTCTGCTTCTCTACTCCGCCGCCGTTCCTTCCTTTCGCTGCGGGAATCAACGCCGGGTGCCTCGCCGCCGTGAGGAGCCCGCCTTTCCCGTTCCTCGCGCTTCACGTGGCGCACGGAAAAAAGAGGCACACGGGCGTGTGTGTGTGTGTGTGTGTGTCGTGGACGAGGCAACATGAGGGAAACGAGCAAATACATATATACATATACACACGTAAGGCAGCGGCGCAGAGGCACACAGAGAGAGAGAAGCAGCAGCCACGGAAAGAATAAACCCCACAGTAAAAGCAAAGAGCATAAAGAAAAATATATATATATACACACATTTTTGTTTAGCCATCGGACGCGGACGGAGGTGAAGAAAATGAAGAGAAAAAAAAACAATAACAACAGCAAAAAAATAAATAAACAAACAAAAGAGCAATTGCGTGTGCGTTTGCGTGTGTGTGAAAAAAATAAATAAATAAAAATAAAGTAAAAAAAAAAGAAACGTCCAATGGGAACTGCATCTGTTTATCTCTAAAAGCTGCATGTAAGAGAAGGAAAGAAACAAACAAACAAAAAAAACGAGAGGAATCCAGTTGAAGTGCGCGCGCATGCCTCGATGTGGGTATTATGCGGAGGCAGCTATGGCTTAGTTGTGTGGGCGGGGCTCCTTTTCCACATCGTCCGTCGCGGGGTGCGTCTCATGTTCAGCACACCGCAAGAGGCGGCGGCGGCCGGTTCCTCCTTCGCCTCCGACGCCGCAACGTGGGCCCGCGGCAGCGCAGCGGCGTCCGGGGACGAGGGCGCAGGCTTCTCTGCGTGCACCTCCAGCTGCGCGTCGTTAAATGTGACGAACTTTCGCCGCGGGCGCATCGAGAGAAATGAAGTTTCCCCTTCGCCGGTGAGTTCGGCACCGACGGCTGCGTCGTTGGCGGGGAACGGCGACGGCGCCGCGACCGGCACCGACTCACGGCGGAAGCGCACCGTGAAGGGATGGCCCGTGTCATCGCCGTTTGCGTCCGCCGAATTCGCCTCTTGCG